AGGTTCTTTCCAAAAATGGCTAATTTGAATCATTACATCTTAACAATTTCAAGAGTTGGATCAACAGTTTACTTTCCACAACGTCATTCAGTAACCTTATTAATAGATAGATAGATAGATAGATAGATAGATAGATAGATAGATATAAATGGACAATGAAGAAGAACTAAATGATAGATAGATAGATAGATAGATAGATAGATATAAATGGACAATGAAGAAGAACTAAATGATAGATAGATAGATAGATAGATAGATAGATAGATAGATAGATAGATAGATAGATAGATAGATAATGCTTGTTCGATAGCTATAAGACTAAGAAAAATAAATTATGGAATTGGCTGTCTTATATACGTTGATGGGAATGGACTAATATTATCACTATTTCTTGTCTACGGCTCAGTAAAACTCAGGAAAACTCTTGAGTCTCAATTTGAGGAGTGTATAAATCGTATTAACGATGAGGAGTCTAAGACAAGAATTCGGATTGATGCAAAATAATCAATGGATGATTTTAATTTTGCCTATTTTATGGTGCATAATACGAGATTTTTTTAACGAAAATTAAAGGCAGAAAACGCGGATTATAATATCCACAAGTATACATTTTGAGAAATTTTAACTCAGCTAAAAAAAGAAACATCTTTTTTGAAACAACAAGATTAAAAATACACTCTGTACAATAGATAATAAAACACAAAGTAGGCAGGTGTAGCTAACAATTATTTACAAAAGGTATTTGATATTTGATATGTCGGCAATATTTGTTCGTTGGGAATCAGCCTCATTGAACGTCTTTTATCTCAAAGACAGGGAATTCACCGAAATTGATTTTAAAAATTTATAAAGGAAATACACAAGATTTGTTCTGTTTTGTACATTTTTATGTTCTTTCCGCTTAAAAAATGATAAATTGATAATCCCCATACTGTGAGGTTGTTTAATTTTCCTCTGTTTGTTGACACACGTTTAAATAAATTAGAACAGTTTTACTCACAAGATAAAGTTTGTATATATTTTGGTTTTCTTGTTTTTATAGTTTTCTCTCTTCATTCTTAATGAGAGACAATTCCATAGTTTATTTAATTAATATATAGAAATATAATAAAGTCATATCAAACAGAAAAGCAACTTAGATTAATTACACCTTACATCGGGTATGTCTAATTTAGCACATTTCCCTGAAAATTCGAAAATATATTTTGAAACGTATATTAGGAAAAGAAACACAAACAGGTTCATTTCTATTCTTTAATATCGTGAAAAATTAAATATTTAATTAAATATATGTGCAGCATTGAGATTTTAATGAATAATTGAGTTCAAATTTTCAAAATGAATACGTAAGGGTGGCTTTACTACGGGTAGTATTATACTTAAGGATCTGATTTATTCCGTGTTTAGTTTCAGAAACACGGGATCGTATTACACTTAGGTAGTATTATACACAAGAAAAATCGGTAATGCCACAACAAAAACAAGACATAGAAGAAACAAGCCAATCTTTGTATTGTTACAGAATGCGAAGGCCAGGGCCGGAATGGGCAGCGATTAGCCGGAGTGCCTAGTGGGCGTAGCATTCTGACAGTGATGGATTGCCTTTGTCTGGGTTTTGAATATGTCCAAAACAGTGCGAATTCAACAATGGGTCAAAATAATTCTGAAACGTCGCCACGCCTCCCACACCCGGCTAAGACTAACATGCGACATGCGTTTCTGTGACGTCATTGCTCCTGCTGCCTCTTAGAATCCAAGCTGCCACCTAACAAAACGGATAACTAAAAGAAATGGTTCTTTTCGCTGATACCTTTTTATGTAGTAGCGTGGAGATCCAGATATGATACAGAACGCAACGCTATCAGCTGCCATAACTAGTTCGATAGATTAGTTCGAATGCACTTCGGAAAATTATGCATCATCCTTAAACGCGAGTCGGGCGCTAAGAAAACAGTTTTTAATGAATGACTAGCTTAGAATGAAAACCTAAAAGTTACGTTGCTATTAAGAAAATTAAATGTCCTGGTAAAATGCAAGTATTTCGAAAACAAAATGTATCATTAATAATTATTTCCTTTCTTTTCTTTTTTTTAAGAAGACACAAAAATACGCATATACATGTCTGAATACATGAAAATTTTCATAGGAACTTCTTGGAAGGGTACGCATGCAGAAACAAAACCACATACGCACAGACACAAAAACGCCTATACACATATGTGTGCGTGTAGGCAAATTTACATTTTAAATTTAAATTTGGATAGATAGATAGATAGATAGATAGATAGATAGATAGATAGATAGATAGATAGATAGATAGATTGTTAGCGATAGGAATTAACACTGAATTTTCAGTTTCCCTGTCTTCACACTGTCTATAAATATCTATCAAGGGAGCCGAAAGAGAGAAAAAAGAAGGAAATGGAATAGAGAGAGAGAGAGAGAGAGAGAGGGAGAGAGAGTAAAGAGACAAGAAATTTATGAAAAGGAGAAATAACATCGACATTCTGCACATGCGCAGATACACACACTTACACGTGTACACGTACACGGAAAGCAGAAAAAAATCATAAATGATTTTTTTAATTTAACATAGAAATAACGAAAATGAGAAAATCAGCAGTCAGTTGATGATAACTCCTGACGAATGAACCGAATGATTACAAAAAAAATTTGTCTACGAAAGTGAAGTCGAGATCTTGAATCAATCACCTCAGTGACAACATTTGTAGCTGTATTAATCCTATATATATATATATATATATATATATATATATATATATATATATATAAGGAAAAAGACAGAGAGAGAGAGAGAGAGAAAAATTTTAGATAAATAGACAAATAATGTTTTTCAAATACACACATACACACACACACACACACACACATGGACAAAGTCCGACAACTGTTTTAAGACATCTTTATGTGTATACATTTTTTTTTATAGATACAAATATTTTAAGTAAATGCTCTGTTTATAATAAATGTTGTTTAATACTGTTTATTATAAACAGAGCATTTACTTAAAAATATTTGTATCTATAAAAAATAATGTATAAAATATATATATATATATATATATATATATATATATATATATATATATATATTTCGTTAAAAATGACTGAAAAGGTACTGTGATTAAGCATTTTATTTAATTTTTCTTGTGTTCATATAAGTGTTCTGGACACAAAACATTTGGACAGTTTTCACACCTTTTATGTCCAGAAAAGAATACACTTATACGAACACAAAAATTAAGTAAAAGCTTAGTCGCAAATACTTGTATATATATATATATATATATATATATATATATATATATATATATATATATATATATTTGAAAAACATATATAAACTGTATTTATCTACATCTGTCGGGCTCTCAAGACTTATACTTCAAGATGGAAATTGTTGATAAACGACTTGAAGCACAAGAGATCACTCACCATGGATATGTAGAGATAACTTGCATAGAGTTCTAAATTAATCTGCTCATTCACAGCAGCCTCCGAGTCGGCATGGTAGTTCTGTCTGGGACGTGTTCCAACCATGATAAATATTAAAGTTTCAAATCAGGACACCGTGAAACAGGAATGAAACTGCTGACTAAATCTACTGACTTGATGATTGATTGGTTGCTGAATTTATTGTTGAATTGATTTGACGATGATGGCGTTAGAATTTGCCCGTACGTTCACTGACGTCGCAAGACAAATTCTGAAGAAGATCGATTTGTAAACTTTCTTTTATAGTCCTTTCATTGTCCTGATAATTACGTAACTTTCTAAAAAAAAAAAAACGTTCTTGTCTTTCACTTGTAAAAAAAAAAAAAAAAGAACACGATATATTTATCTTGTAAGACCAAGTCGAACATCAAAGTTCAAATCTCAAGGAGAAACTGATAAAATCACTTACAATCATTAATATTAACGCTCTTAATATCATTTATTGCGATAATGATCATGGTTTCAAAACACAAAAAATTGCTTCTCTTTTTATTTTAATCATTTCACCCCAAGCCAGACGATAAAATCCACTAAGATGCAAGTGGTTACTGAGTGTGAAATTAACAGAGAGAGAAATAACAGGAACAGGATTCAAAGAGACAGAAGATGGTGATTGACAGAGCATTTAAAATTTTGAAGATCGTTTTGATAAGAAAGCAAAAAAATTGGAAGCAAGAGGTATAAGAGAAGAATCTATTAGAATAGAACCCACGGTTACATCTTTTAATTTCAACAGGGAAATTATGAAACCTAGCTGCCAATCTAGTAATGCACTTAAATTACTGAAATCGAGTAATGAAAATGAAAGCTTATCAGAACAATTACGATGAAAATATTTATAGAAAAGGCACAAGGAAACTACGTTACGGTACGAAAGTGAGTGAAGCCGAGAAGTTTAAATAGACAAGATGTAACTAAATAGTAAACATTGCATGTGACTATAAGGCATGTTAATGTAGCAAATTGGTTAAAAATATACATATAATCCTGCGTATAACGATAACCTACATCCAGTAGTAAGACCTTTGATCGTGTGGTTTTGAGGAGCGTAAAACCACATCTTAAATGCTGTTGTTCCCAAGTCCACCCTAACCCAGAGTGGTAGCAACAGCTAGGGTCCTAGCCATGGGCAAATAGCGAACCCTATACTGAAAGTATAGATATTTAAAAAAATAAAAAATAAAAGAATAAATTACTAGCAATAGTTTTTTGTAAAAAGAAATTACTCAAGCACTCAAGAAAATGAAATTTCGGTATTAAATGACCCATAAGGATTTGATAAACTGTTAAACAAACAAAAACAGATATGCAAATAGACATGATTGGGTACGAACTATAATCTATTGGGAACTGTGAAAACGATTTGAATTTGACTATGCTGGCCAATGATATGAACACAAACCATAATCCAATCGAAAGGATAGAAAAAAATGACTGCCAACCACCAGACGCTCGAGTCTGTGAATATGCATCTTTCTTTTTTTTTGTTTATGTTTGCTAAGACTTTCTATGTGCTGCATCTTATGAGTGATTATGGCTCAACATAATTTCCTCTCCTTAGTAAAGATTTTTACCATCCTTCCAACTTCCTGTTTTGCCATTCATTCACACGTTCATTAGGTAGGTTACTCGGTTTTTACCATTGACTGTCTTGCTCTCAATATATCCTGTATCAAAATTTTCAAGTCCCCTTTACTCATTATCTGTCCCAGGACTTCAAGCCCATGTGCCATTAATTCCAAGCCCACTTGCTCATTATCTGTCCCAGGAATTCCAAGCCCACTTTGCTCATTATCTGTCCCAGGAATTTTCTTTGCTCAATCTGTCCCAGGAATTTTTGCTCATTATCTGTCCCAGGAATTCCAAGCCCACTTTGGAATTCATTATCTGTCCTCATTATCTGTCCCAGGAATTCCAAGCCCACTTTGCTCATTATCTGTCCCAGGAATTCCAAGCCCACTTTGCTCATTATCTGTCCCAGGAATTCCAAGCCCACTTTGCTCATTATCTGTCCCAGGAATTCCAAGCCCACTTTGCTCATTATCTTTCCCAGATATAAGCCTCCTTTTAGTTTTCATTCACCTTAAAACGTCCTTGTTGTTCACATATTACGTCTCTGTAGAACCATGTCTCTTGCCTTAGGTTTGTTCTTCATCCGTGAAATTGTCCAGCATTTACTGCTATATAGGAGGATTTTTATTACTTAATAATTCATCCCTCTTTTCTTTATGTAAAACCACGTTCTCTGCTTTTGGAAATATCAAATAGAAGGAAAGAAATCGCCTAAGTACGAAAGTGTTCATACTTTCCTTTGGCAACTGCAAACATCTTTATTGATATCTGTAAATTACTAAAGGACATTTTGTTCGTTTTTCCACTTATTTATTTCTCTACTTCCTAAATGTTGTATATTACTAGTTCAGCACTCCGTTGCTTCGCTGATAGCAAGATGATCAAATTTATATTTTTTATTCATTTAAAATACATTAAAAATATATTCAGTTTAAATACAGAAGAAATCATTAAAATAACTTCTAAGTGTCGGTTTACGTTCTTTTCCTGTTAACTAAGGTTTGTTACTGTTGGGGCGCACTCACCTTCTGACTGATAATGGACTTATCCCTCTACGATATTAGTCAGTGCTAGAGAGAGTAGTGGTGTAGTGTGAAGGATCAGGTTAACATTACATACCGTTGGACTGTAGACTTTTGCTATTGTTACTTACTAACCGGCGTTCCTTATTACTAATCACTCTGTTGTTATTACCTCTTACAAATATACCAGTATTTATCCCTACAACTGTGTTTGTCTTTATTCAAATACACACAAGCGGGAACACTCCCAACAACTCAACAGTTACCAGAAGACTAGCCCTCATGGCACAGATGTCCATTTCAATTTAATATTTCCAATAAGAATAATATTTGCTGTATTTCAAAATTAATTTACATTTACTGGAAGGAGTTTTTGTTTTGAAATTACTAAAATAGCTGATTTTAGCACCATTTTTAACCATCTGTCATCGCAATGTAATTTTATATATTAAAAAAAAACTTTCCAAATTAAAATGTCCTTTTGTCAAACTTTATTCGAGGAATATTTAAAGTTTAATTAATCTTATTTGAAACTAATATTACTTACTTTTAGTTTAAAATATCGCAGAAACGCAGTTTTTTAACATGGAGGTAGGTGTTTATTTAAGGTCTTGGATTGACAACTTGACTGACGGAGTGAAACGTGTTTAGATTTGCTTAAGAGATATAACGTGAATACATATTTTATATAATTTTTAACTATCCAGTAATCTTAAAACCATAGGAAAATATTCTCCGTAATTTGATGTTTTATTGAATTTTAGGTACTTTAGTTTTAAATTTACTATAGTTATCGCTCTCATTTTCTGATAATGATGTGTATGGATGACCAGATTTACAAAAATCAGGACTTTTATAGACACAAAAAATTTAAAATTCTTTAAAATATTGGGAGTCGTTGAATTGTAGTAAACGTTTCTATTTCTGATTGGTAAATACAGTTTTTACTTATTAACAATATCACCTAACAGAAAAATACAAAAAAAAAGATCTAAAACTTTATAAATTATTTTAATTAAAATCTTTTAAAATGAAGACAATTCTTGAAAAAATGCACTATTCACCGGATTTTTTGAGACAATAGACATTATATATATATTATATATATATATATATATATATATATATATATATATATATATATATATATATATATATATATCATAACAGCAATTAAATGTATTTATAAATAAATAATGTCTTCGTTTTATTACATTTTATATTTTATGATTCAAACCAGATTTTCGGTAACTGGTGTCTTGTTTTATAAAAAAAATTGATGACTTAAATTATCCAAGGTGTTCTACGTACAAGTAGTATAAACATTAAGCAGTACAAAAATTAATTTCTCAAAATTTCATAAAAATTAAATTAAATAAATGAGTGTTAAC